AAGTATACTATACTATACAAACTATATCACTATTATATAACACTACTCTGTATTATTTAAAAAGAGAAAAAAGAATACACTCAGATAATGTAAAACAAAATAAAAAAAAATAAAAGCACCATCAGCTATAAAATAATACAAAAAAAAAAATAAAAATATAAATAAAACGTGAAATAAACAAGAGTTTTGTTACAGTAATGAACATGACGTGTTATAAAAACTCTGTATACAATTGTATACTCCAGTAAAATAAAAAAACAAATGTAAAAAAAAAATGTATAACAGTTAAGTAAAATAATATCGCAACACAATTAAAATTTGTTGAAAGAAAATTATATCATGAAGAGAAACAAAAAAAAAAAAAAAAAAACAAAAACACAGTAGGCTTACAAAAATAACTGGAGGTATTAAAATTTTAATGTTGTCTCTCTTCTTTTTTCCCAATATGTGGACATACATATTAAATTGTTGACATCGTTTACATATACACATATAAAAATACACTTGCTTGCACATAAAACGATTATTATACACCATAAATATTTTTGTAACTTCATAAATTTTGAAAATATTTATTACAACAATTAAAGCAATAACAAAAATACAATTAAAATTTTATAATAAATAAATTGTTATTATTATTAATTTTATGAACAAACATTTATAAACATATATCTGACATTTTTATAAACAACATCTCTTTTATTAACTTGTAATATATTGGCATTTTTTATTAAATTGATTGCCATATACAATGATATTCATGCATGTAAGTGCAATACTATAATAATGTTGACATGCTGTTCATTTCTCTTAAGTACTATTTTTATTTTTAAAGTGTTATACAAAATTTAAATAAATTTTTTATAATTTATATTGGTAGCAAATCATGCGATTGTTTTTTTCATTTTACAATAACAGTAATATTTTATTAATAAATATTTTTTTATTAATTTTAATTAGTACAGATTTTAATGAGTTAACAGCAATTATTTTTTAAAACAAAAAATTTTTTTCTTCAAATAAAAATAATAGTATTTTATAAGGTAATAATTCTGCACTACAATAAAAAAAAATGATTTTATACTCAAGAAATTTGCAAGTATTACAAAATAACTTTTTTGCATACTTTAAGGCAACATGAAATATTTTTTCGCTTCACCACCAGTTTCTTGATTATTAAAGAATTAAAATTTTCAATTTTAATAACAAAAATTTAATTAAATTAAATTAGTTGTCTGAATTAATTGAAATTTTTAGAGAAAACAATCTGTTCTTCAAAATTGTTATATATACAAGATTTGAGTATAACGTTGTGATTTTGATAAGAAAATTAGGTAATTTTGTATTTCCGAAAATTCAACGAGTAATTCAGAATTTCGAAAAATTTTTGCATTATAAAAGTGAGCTGGGTTTTAAATACATGAAGCTTTTTAAACTTAGCAAAACTCATTGAAATTAATATTATATTTTATTGTAAAATTGTAATACACTATACACGACATTCACTGGTAAATCCTAATTAAAAATTACTATAATTAACTTAAAAAATAAAATTTTATACATAAGTTTAACAGCAACTATAAATATTTTTTTTTTTTGTTTAAATATTTTAACAAAAGATGATCCTAATTATATGCTAATTATTACTTTAGTTTGCATATAATCTGTTCTTTTATTAAAAATTACAATTAAATTATAAATAAAATATATTTTAATTATAGCGATATGGCAATTTAATCATAATGAAAATAATATTTTCCAATTAAAATAGCAATTAATTTATTCAATATGAAAAAAAATTTATGATGAACAGAAAGCGCTGCGAAATTACAAAAATATTTATAATTTTATAAAATGAATAAGCCCAAAAAAAATATTTTACTTAGTTTAATCCAGATTACAATGGTATTGAACAGTATAGCTGTAATCAACTTAATCCTGTAATTTTGTATTTTGAAATAATTAGTTTTTTTTTTTTGTTTTAATTACGCTAACATTGTGCTTTATTACGAAATAGTTTCCATATAATTCAAAAGAAATTTGTATATGAAATTAAAATGCAATAAAAATATTTTGTAAAATAATGTCACAGGCCCATTACAAAAAAATCTAAGTCAATACAATTATAACAGCAATTATAGCAATATAATTATATGCTATAAATGTTTTCTCAATTATATTTTATTATTCATATTATTAGTCCCAATATAATTCAATAATAATATGAATGCAACGTTAACAAATCGCCACTACAAATATAAAAAAATTCAATAATACTTAATCATATTCTAATTATATTTTATAATTTAAATAGATTTTGATGATTTATGTTATCGAATCAATAACAGTTTGGCTACCGAGATTATTGTTTTCTTCATTATCATTTCAATTGCTCGAAAACCGAGGAAATATCTATAACATTTTATTTATAAATTAGACTGCTTATTAAATTAGTATACTAGTTCGACCAATGTTATTTTACAATGAATAACTATAACAGTAAATTTCACGGCTTAAAAATTCAAACAAAATTTAGATTCATCTTAAAATACAACATATTTAAAGAGATTCAGAATATTTTCATTAACATTTCAAATCCTTAAAATTATAGAGCATAATTATGGGGTTATTGTAGCAGTAATTAACAAAATCATAATAAAATTGAATAATTGCCAAGAATATTCAAAGTTTTCTATTCAAAGTATAAATATGTCTGTAATCTTAACATGAAAGTTTTTTTAACACACAACAAACTCATTACAATTTCGTTTATTTTAAATTATCACCTTATATTAAAAAAAACTTACTAATTTTATTTTACATATTCCTATAATAATTATAATTCAATCTAGTTCACTTTATCTTATGAAAATTTTGACAAATTGCCAAACATTTTAATTTTTATTCTATACCAATTATTTGAATTCAAAATTTATTTTTTATTCAAATATTTGTTTAACAACGATATTTACACGTCATAAAACTGTAATAAAAAATAATTAAAAAAAAAATTAATAAGAAAAGAGAAAATATTCACGATTTAATAGGGGAAAAGTTTAATAATTTGAAATTGGAATTCTGCCAAATACACAGAGAGAGAGACAAGAATGAAGGTAATAAAATTTTTGATTTTCAAAAGGAATTTCACATCAATTGATTTTGTAAATAAATTTTTTTTTTAAGTTTTCCTCAAATAATTCGAATAAATTGTTGCAAATTAACAATATATTACATATATGTACCTAAAATAAGATAAAATCTTGGTGTATATTCATGGGAATGCTATGTTCAAGGGCTGCTATTATAAGAGGACCTAACTTCATTTTAAAACTTTCAATTATATTAGATATTATTATGAAGAATGGATGAGCTATCACAATTACACTATAGTGTAATTGTGATAGCATTCTTATAGTCACTATACGAGCGTCTGGGTGAGTTAATTCAGCTAAAAATAAGATTAGCAACTCCACCAGTTTTAGTTAAGTATAATTGAATTTCAATTATTCTAATTGAATTACAGTTATCCAAATTGAATTTAAAAATTGGCTATTTAACAAAAATTATCATTTTTAGTATAAAATCAAAATCTACTCAAATTCTCGTTATTAAAAATAAGGCCATTAAATTGAAAATTATAGACAAAAAATTAAAAGTTAAAATTCAGGTTTTTAATTCTTAAAATAATATTCTGGTTGCTACTTAAAATCGGAATACAGCTCAGTTAATAACAGTTTCTCTTATTATTTTTTTTATTCAATTTAAAAGCAAACTACATGAATTTCGATTAATTAGTAGTAAGTATGTATGTATAATGTATTTATATATTAATATATAAAATAAAATCATTATTAATAATTAATTGTAAAGAATGAAAATACGGGCACGAAATCAACCTACATACGTAATTTAAGTAAGTTTCCCTTACCGTATTTATTTATTTTTTTATCAATGGTATTATAGAAAAGAATATTATTCTTTATCAAGAGAAAATTACAGAAAAGGGTAGGATTAAATTTAAATAATTTGAATATTTTCTTAAAATCTCGGATAATAAAATTGTATTTTGCAATATAAACATTAATATATTAATTTCCTGTTAATTTATCATTAATTTTCTGCCGAATACATAATATTATTGGGAAAAGGACGACCTGATTTTATTTATTTATTTTTTTTTTGAGGAAAATCGTATATAAAATAACTTTTTCTTTGAATTATTTATGATTTCTTAGTATAAATTTTAACATAATATTATTATTATAATTTAATAGCTAAGTAGATCAATGAATTTTTTTTTTTCAAGAAAAGATACAAATTAGGTATTTTACTTAATGACTCCTTTAATTTTAAATTATGTAATAATCCGAGCGGATATTTGAAGTTCTAAAATCAATCTAAATTAATCAAATATGTAAAAGGAACTGTCGGCTTCCAAAACCTAATGGTAACTATTATGCATGGTTCCGGAATTATTATAATATTGTACCGTTTTTTCAAGAGGCTGTAGTTCGAAAACGAGTATATCTGCAACCCTCCACCCATACAATATTTTGCTGGAAATTGATCAAAAAATTGTCCATGAAATTTTTTATCACCTTATTCGAAACACCCTGTATATTATTTTTAACATCTACATATTTACTTTGACAACAATTTGAAAATAATTTTTGTAAAGTAATCAAAATTTTTTCAAAAAAAAAACCAAAGTTATCATTGATTTTTGGAATTTTCAATTTTTTAATTTTAAATTACGTCAATTCTTATTTATTATTTCAGATTTACAATTTATTCTACTATGTACACAAATAATAATGTAACATTTCCATTTACATACATACATTCTGACATGCAAATATCGTATAGCATAAAAATATAAAGTAAAAATTAAAATTGTGGAATTTCATATTTTAAAATTTTTATTAAAAATAATTTTAAAATTTTTAAATTCTTAAATATTTTAATTAATATAATTTTTATTTTAAATAATTTGAATTACAGTGACAAAATTTATACGTATTGGTATTGCCGATAAAAACGATAATCCACCATATTTCGATAAATCACTATACGAGGCTGAAGTTGATGAAAATGAAGATATTCAACATACTGTACTTACTGTCACCGCCAAAGATCACGATGAGTGTAAGTTATACAATATTAATTTTAATATTTAATTAATTTTGATTATATTATGTTTTGACTTTGATTAATAATATTAAAAGAAACATTAATATTTATGAAAGTGAAAAATTCCAAACTGTTATAATTTCTAAAAATTTTTGTTTTCTATCATTTCCTAAAAAAATTTTACGGTAGCATTTTAAATATTAGTACATTCAAATGTGTATTAAAAACTCAAGCAAATATTCAATCATGCATAGTCCATACAGACCAAAAATTTGTCTAACTATGAAATTCCAGAGTATATTTTTGTATTCTAATCGTGCGTAGCTACTACTAAAAAATTAATTTTCTTAAGATTATCGAGAAATAGTGCAAGACAAATAACTATAAAGTTGCAATATTATCAAAAATAATTATAAAATTTTGAATATTTTAATGCCAAAAAAATAAAGGAGACACTCCGAATTTTATTTGAGGAAATCTTTAGAATGATTAATGGAAATGTCTTCATACAACTGCAGAACACAGATGGATGCGATGAAACCAAAGAAACGAATCAAGACAGAAAAATTAAAAATAATTTTCTTTTCGAACTGAGCTACAGAGGTATGAAGAAGTTACCGACAAATTATTCTCCATATTTCTTTATACTGTAATCCTTCATTGTAATGTAAATATTGTTTACATGAGATGCTACATGAAATGAATCACTGTAATGTAAATATTGTTTACATGAGATGCTACATGAAATCTTCTACTTGAAACACCGTGTTGGCAATTAGTAACTTCATTAATGTAATATAGGCACATTACCTGTTTATAAGTTCTTGTAATTTTATGTTTCAAATAGAAGATTACATGTAACATTTCAGATAAACAATACTTAGTAATCATGTAAATTACAGTATAAAACCACTCATTACTTTGGTTACGTTATCCATCTATTCTGCAGTTGTATGAATAAATTTGCATTAGTTATTCTTATAAGAATTAATAATAAATTATAAACAACTAAACGTTGTATTAGTAATTACTAATTATAGTATAATAAAATCTTTGGAATTTTTCGGCAACCAAACTAGATTTGTATTATCCTCAAAAGTAACAAACTATTTAAAAAAAAAAAAAAATTAATTAATTAAATTTTAATTTTATAAATTAAATAAAATTACAGCCTCGCGTATTCGATACGAGATTACAAGCGGTAACATAGGCGGTGCATTTGCTGTAAAAAATATGACCGGAGCGATATATGTCGCTGGCGCTCTGGATTATGAAACAAGAAGACGGGTAAGTTTCGATTTATTTTTATTTCTATTATTCTCAATTTTTTATTTTAAATTTTATTATTTAAACTTTTATTTAAAATTTTTTATTATTTGAATGCAAAAAAAAAAAAAAAACTTGGGGAAAAAATTTTGTATTCCACGATAGACCTATAAAGCAGGAACAAAGAAAAATTATACAGGAATAAAATTCCAAAAAAAAAGTTTTCATTTTGAATAAATTAAACTTTTCTTTTTTTTTATTACCCAGAGTAGATTTAAATAATAAAAAAAAACAAAAAAAACTATGCATAACTCTATACCCAAATTCTATTCTTACGTCTCTGTATCTACATATACATATACGTATGTATGTGTATATAAAATTTATTTAAGTTTTCTAGTTCGTCGGAAATTCATGCAGTTCTAGGCTATAGTGTCTTAGCAGCCAAGTAATAGAAAACAAAAAAAAAAAATTTAATACAGAAAAACGAAAATCGAAAATAACTAGAAAACTTTAACTATAATTTTTTTTTTTTTTTAGTTCAAAGGTAATCGAAATGACAAATAGACTACGGAGGCAAATAAATCTCTTCTTTTGAACATTGCACATGCGAGAGATCCTTTTTATCACAAAATACAAAACTTATAAAAGAAGAAAAATTTAAAGACAAAAAAAAAGCATTTTTTTTTTTGCTTTTCTGGAGGATCAAGGGAAAAAAATTCATTGTAAAAAAGTTTTCAATTTCAGTTATTTTTTTTTTTAGTCTTCGATTTTTTTTTGCTTTTACTTTTTGCCTATACTTTTAAATTCCTTTAACAAATTTCTCTTTTTTTCATTTAATCCTCCGAATTTTTTTCTTTTTTCTTACAATTTGTCTTTTTTCGCTTTTTTTTTTTTACTTTTTTAGTTCTTTAAAAAGAATTTTATTTTTTTGTTTTTAAATTGAGCCAAAAAATTAGCACAGCTGTACCAATAACCATCATGATAAAAAATAATGAAAACCAAAAGAAAAAAAAACGTAAAAAATAAGGAAAAAGCAGAAGCAGATAAAGAAAACAAAAGATAAAGTGAAATCGTAACTTATTAGCACACACACACACACCTATAAACACAAAATGATGTTAATATTTATAGGTTCTGGTCATTTTCCTTCCTGCCATTTTATGTACAAAAATTGTTATAAAAGAATATAGGGATTTTGTCTGTCTGTTCAACTATTTAAAATAAAATTTAATTAATAAGAATTAAAAGGTCTCATGAAATTGTTAATTATAAATTTAATTCGGGTGAATAGAGATCATCAGGAAAATTGACTCCTTGCAGTTAATTGACATTCTAATTTTTGTTATCCAGTAACCGATGAGCGTTAAAAATTGGTCACAATAATGTTTCAAATGGAAAAATGTGATTACTATAAGCAATTAAATACTACCAAAAATACTAATTTTATAGTTTAAGATTAAAAGTAACGAAATATTTAGAACATTTAGGATAATGGACCTTAGGCTTTATTCCTAAGTAATTAAGTGAATTTTCATTTTATATAGTCCAAATTTTCGTTTTTAATCTCATTGACTAGCCCTTTTGTTTCTAAAACCTTCTAAATTTTACTAATTACTAGAATAATTTAAATTGCTTATATGCTAAGTCGTAATACAACACAATTTCCTGTTATGAGATTTTACTGTGATAATACTATTGCTTCTAAAATATATTTCTATAAAATATTTAAATTAAGTCTATTACACTATTGATTAGTACTAATGGAATCATGATAAGCAAACAAACCAATTTTCAATTAAATTATTTTTTACTTAAAACCATTGAAAAATAAATAGATTAACTATAATTTTCGTAGTTATTTAAACGAAAACCCTTATAAATTAAATTTACACTTTTAATTCACTTACAATTCACTTATAAATAAAAGTAATTAAATGAAATTAGTAAACCAAATGAAATAATAGGAAACTGCAGAAATATAGGTAACAAAATTTTCCTTTTTTGAATAAAATATAGGTGACAATACCATTAAGTATTACAATAGCTTATAGTGTTGTTGTACGTTTGTGTTTGACTAAATTCATTCATTATCATGAGAATTTCTACTAACATAAAATAATTCTTTTAATTGTTATCAAATAGAATAAAGTTTAGAACAGTGTGATACATGACATATACAATACTTACATGTTAAATATCTACATAACAATTAATTTTGGCATAACATCAAAACAAGTTAAATCCATTTTGTAAAAATTCAAGAGATTGAAATATTTTATATTTCCATTTTCTTATTCATAAAAATATTATTACTTTAATAGCTCCAGTTTCGTTCATTGCAGCATTTTCCCTTACTTCAATTATCAGCTGGAAAACATACAATACTGACGTGGGCATCATATTGAATTTAATTGCCTGTCTAATCTAGTATCTCTTATTTCAGTTTATTTAAAAGTTTCTCTTATATCACGCAAATTATGTTGAATCTACATATAATTTGCTCGAAATTTAATAATTTCGAATTAAAAGCAACTTTAATTTAAAATAATTTTTTCTCATTTCTACCGAATCATAAATTTTTCTTTCCTTTTTAATATGGCCCCATGTTTTTATTCATTTTAATTCCATACTTTTTTTTTAAAACAATTGCCTGTTAGTGTGTAATAAATTGGTATTTATAACATGTAGGCATATATTCTAAATGTAGGTTTGAATACTCTTCAGCTTAACAACATAAAAGTATGCAATAAATGAATGTGTGCTTTTGAAATATTTAAGAAAAATGTAATCCTATTTAAGTCCTTTTGACTAAAAAGTTATAATTTTCTCCAAATTTTTTTCTTTTCCGTATTTTATTGTTATCTATATCGAATATGTTTTATCATGTTCGTTATCCTTTTTTTGTTTTTGCTTTTTACGTTCAGAAAAGCAACAAGAAGAAAATATTAAGAACATTGTATTAAATATTATAGCAAACTTCTTAAAAGAGAACAAAAAAGAGAAAATAAGAGAGAAACAAAAGAAAAAAAAAAGAAAATCCTTTTTTTTTTCTCTCTTGTATTTATTTTCAGTAGTGATTTTTTTTTATAAAAAAAAAAATAAATAATAGTAAAAAATATTTTTACTTTCTTTTTCATATCTCTTCCTCGTCACCAAAAAAATTCTTCCCCTATTTTTTGTTTTGAATAAAAAAATTCAATTTTATTTTCATGAAAATTTTCAGTTTGTTTCGTTTGTCGGTGGAGAGATGGTGTTGCAAGACAAAGAATGTGCATGTGAAAATACCATTTTTGTACTACATTTTGTTTTTGGATTTTTTTCATTGTGAAAATTTTCTAACTACTCGTATATCATTGCCGACATTTTTAATATATGAGTTTCTTATTTGTACTTTGAATTTAAAACTTTAATAATTCTTTTTTAAGCAAAAAAAAAATAAGAAAAGCCAAACTCTTCTTGAAATTTTCAAAAATAGTTTTTATTTTGGATGGTAATAATTTGTCATCATTAATAATATTTTAAAGGCAGTCACTGCTTTGTTTAATATTTTAATAAAAATTTATTTCAATAACATTTCATAAATTTTTGAAATAAAACTGATTGAATGTAAGCTGTTAATATTTTCTTTTAAAGTTGCCTTTGATTTTCAGGTTGTCTTTGAATTTAGTTTTTTTATCAAAAAATAAAATGAAAGAACAGCTTAATTTAATTATTAATATTTTTACAACTAAGATAGAGCATAATTAATTACAATACAAACAAAATTAAATAAAAATATTTAGTAAAAAAAATTGAGTAAAGAAAACGGAATTTCAATGATACACGAAATTTAAAATTAATTATATTGAAAATATTGAGTAATCGGAGAATTTCGGCATTTTTCGTAAAAAAAATAAGTTTTCGTATTCTATTCCAAGAAATGAATCAACTACAAACTTAATTTTTATCTTCATTACTGTTTACTCGTATAAATTTTATTATGTCACCTAAAGTTGCAAAATTGTAGGAAATTTCCCATTTTAAGGGAATTTTGAAGTTTTGTAGGGAAAAAGGTAAAAAGACCAAAAATTTTGGGAAATTCCATTAAATTCTTATTTTCTTTATTTTACATATTTTAATTTCTTTTTTTATAGTTATGACCAAATGCATTTTTGACACTTGATCAAAAACAAAAAGTCCTATTATTTATATTCTATTATCTTAAAATGACATAGTATTACTTGTATTTACAATTTGAAAGTACCTGTTTAAGTAATCATTTATTAATTAAGTTATTCAATTGAATAAATGCAATATTGTTGTTTTGTTAAATTAATAAATACATACTTTATTTAAATAAAATGTTGCAAGATTTGTGTGTACGGGTAAAAAATTTCTTAAAGGGAAATTATGTGGGAAAAATAGGGTTTTCAAAGGAAAAAAATGGGATATTTTGAAGTAAGGGTGATAAATTGAGCAGGAAAGAGTTGTCAACACGACTACCATAAATTCAAAAATCACAATATTACTAGAGAATCTATTTTTAATATTCAAAAATTTAAAATGATATTTAGATCGCTTCGAAATATTTTATTTGCTAGAAATATTAAAAACTATTTTAATACGATCTCTTTCCTTTAAACATAATGCATGTACTCATATTTTAACGGTATATCAGGATGTAAGTAAATCAATACATATGTATAGATGATATTATTTACATATACAGTTACAATTACGTACATACATACTTGAAAAATCAAATAGTTTCCTCTTCTAATCCTTTAAGTGTATAAAAAAGTAATTTCTAAAAAGTTAATTAATTTCTTATTTAATATGAACAGTATGTTTATGAAAATTATAACTTAGTTGTATGTAACATGAATGCTGTAATAACTTGAACAACATAGATACATGTTATCATATCAAATGTTATCATACACACATATTACTCTTTATATTAAATTAGAATAAACTGTTCATATACACCATTTTCATATAAAATGAACGTACATACATTAAAATAGAAATAAGAAATT